AAAAAAAAAAAAAAAAAAAAAAAAAAAAAAAAAAAAAAAAAAAAAAAAAAAAAAAAAAAAAGGGTGTAATGGGAGAGACAGAGTGGGGCCCACGCCCACCAAATTACCAAATCCATCCGCTGTACTTATCGAAGTGTTTCTTTTTTCTTTTTTTATTTTCATTTTTTGGTTTGGGCTTTTTTTTTCTTATAAAAGGATAAAAAAAAAAAGGGCTAAGCACAGCTATGTTGCCTTCAATGGCTATTTATTTTTTTCTGGTAACGTTATAAATAAATGTTTTTTTTTTTTTAAATAAAAAAATGGATTAGCTTTAGACTGGGTTTTGTTATGGTATGCCCATTCTCATGAAAATTAAGTTTCAACTTTTGATGGAAAAAAAAAATAATAAAAGAAATAAGAGGGGAAGGACAAAGTAAGTAGAGGTTTATCCTTAAAAAATATATTTTTTTTTTAAAAAAAAAAACTATTTTTGTTTCATTAGTATAAGAAAGGTAAATATTTTTACATATATTTAAAACATGGAGAATAACATTTAATATTATATATATATTTTTTTTTCATAACTCACTATTTCAATATTAATCTTAGTCCAAGTCAACTAACACTTAAAAGTGAAAATACTTTTTTAATTTGGTTAAAATGCAAGTTCATTATATATTTAGAGACCTATTGAATGAAATTAAAATGGCAACTTCTTTTTATATCATACCCATGTAAGTGAACATATAAGAGCATGATTTGTAAAATAAATTATATGGTCTCGTTGTTGTCATTACTAATCATTTAGAAATAAACAAACATGGAAACAAGCACTTGATCTCAATTTCCATAAGCAAAATTCCAAAAAAGAGGAGCCTAATAAGCCGACTACTCGAGTTTGAGCACATGATTCACTCACTTGAGTTAAAATTGACAACGATATCGAAGAATTACCAGCGAACCTTTTGGACTGAGCTTCAAAATAAACCGTTCCATCTAGGAGTATCAAGTGTCTGCATTATAATGACTAAATTTAGTTTCTATTTGGTCTTTGAAGTTTCAAAAATCACGTACTGAACTTGTGAATAAATTTTCAAAGAAGCAACTTCATTGACAAACCAGTACCTGATCCCATATGACCCATCTTACTTTACCTCTCTTCCAATTCTGGTCTTCTGTTAAAATGATCCAAGTAACCCTGAGATATACCACCCTATTGTTAATGAACTGAAGTTTTAATTGCTGTTTTAGATGCAATTCTACCAACCTCGGCAAGATAATAGAAAGCTAAAACTAAAGAGGAAAACAAAATTGTAAATTACCTGAAGTATTCCAACCGCAGCAAACTTGTCAATTATTGTCTTTGACAAAATAGGAGGCAGTTTCAATGGCTTTATCAGAAGTTCCACATTCTGTGTATAGAGATCAAAACCACAAATTCAATATTCAATGTTGAATGAAATGCAATGCAATGCAGCAGCCTATTCACAAGTCAATACCGCGATTCAAAAAGGGGAGCTAGACAATTCAAACATAATCACAATTGTATGAACGAGTCATTGAATTGACAGAGACATTGAAAGGCATGTCACATAAGTCCCAAGACTAACAGGAAGGGCTGTCCACACTAATAACATTGACAACCTTTGATGTAAAGCACTCGTCCCAAAAAGTATATTTTACGCCTTCAAGTTTTCCAGTTTTACAAAGGTCATCGATGAAGATCTTCACTTGCACAGCCTGTACACAGAATAATATAGTGTCAAGTAGAGATGAGAGTCAATAATGATGAATTTCAAGAGATAAAGAACACACATCGGCGTTGCGTCGTTGTCCATCGAAAGGGTATCCAACAATGAACCCTGACAGAGAAAGTTCAGAGATCTGCAAACACAAACCAGAAGCAGGTGTAAATATACACATCATGGAAATGACTGAAGGTTTCAAGAAAGAATAGCATTGGCGATTCAATATCAGATAATCAAAGATTAAAAATAACTATGCTGCACAGCAACACATCACGGAAGAAGGGGGGAAAAAATGGTGAAGTTAGAGCTAATGTATTACATTTCAAACCTAGAGATATCTACCCAATTTCATAGTGGCGTCATAAGAACTCCCATTTGGACATTAGAAGGTACTCACTGAAGATTGAGTAAATTAACTTCCTCCCTACAGAATTTTGTGGCACCACCCTTCAATCATTGCTTATCATTTATCATTGCATCAAATAACATTTAACAAATATTCAGAACAAAACAGAGTAAAATATCTCACCAATCTCTGAAAATCCAGAGCCATCAGATGCATATTGGTTTTCTTCCTGAACAAAACACTGCAGAACCGAAGAACAACAAGTACTGGTCACGTTATTTTAACTTCAACTTAAATCCCATTACTACAAATCTCTCAGACACAATATTATGAACAGAGAAACAAAATACCTAAGAGGCGACGCGATTTTATTATCTGGATCAGAGACGGCCAAACCAACATACTTATCACCAACATCTAAACCCAAAAAACGGCCACGTTCAAGGGCATTTCCCTTTAACAAATCGCGAAACAAATTCAACGGCCTCACGTACTTCATCTTGTACTACTATCTAGCTCAGTGAACCATGTTATCCAGCAGCTGATTCGCAAATCATTTTCAGCTTCGCGCCTTCGAATCCCAAAACGTACAATTAGTGCAGCAATTAATTCAGCACATTCAAATTCATTCGCAATCCATTGTAACTTGAAAACTCAATAGAATTCATAAATTCCAACTATTACCTGCAGACTTGAAGATGAAGGACAGTGAATTAAGCCCGAACTCGAAACCTCGATACAATTCTTTTCGGAAGAAATCCCAATTTGATCTGGTCAGGACCAGACCTTTGGAAAACCTTTGAAATTTCATTAGGCTCATTACCAAGCCCTTGGGCCCAAATCTTTTAGGTCATTTTAATAACTATTTTGCTTAAAATTTGATGTATATTTAAATAATTTAAAAATTACTTATTATCATTTGTCTATTTGAAATTAATTTTTGTTCAAAATTGATAAATTAATGGACAATTTTTATTTATAAGGAAAACCACATTAATATGTTTCCAAAATTTATAATTAGATGCTAATAAATAATAATGTATTAAAATGTATATATTATTAATGAAAAACCTACGGAAGTAATCCATTATTTATTTATCCTAATCAATTGATTTAACTACGTTAATTGAACTCGTAAATAAAATATAGTTTGAGTTTCAATAGTTTGTGTACTCGACCATATACTTTGAAAAAAAAATGTTAACATTTTAATTTTATAATTTATTTAATAAATTTAATGCTACATTTTTATATTTTATTTGAGATGATTTTTAAGTGGTTTAAAAATATTTAAAAGTGAAAAAAAAAAAAAAACAAACAAACATGGGCAGGACCTCACGTTGTGATTTATGAGTTCTTATTATTCATATTATTATTATTTGGTAATTAAGAATTTGATGGAGAGGAACCCATGTTGCGAAGGTCAAACACCAGCACCATTAACAAAAAAAAGAGACTCGGGTCCATTAAATTACATTGGATGGATACAAATTTCTAATCTCTTTAGAGTATATAATTTAATAAATCGAACTACGATCGACACAACATCGTTACAATATTTTTTTAGGAACTAAAAAAAACTTTGTAAAAATTGTTTTTTTTTCGAGATCGGGATGATCACTAAGACTTATATCCCTCCAATTAAATCAAATCAATCTAATTTACGCTAATTATTTTATGGCAATTTACAATTCATTATAAAAAAAATGTGCATTTTAATTTAAAGACATATTTGTTATTTTGGAGGCTTTAGAAATACGGAAACAGAAAGAAAAAAAACATTATTATTATTTATTATTATTATTTATTAAGCAGGAAAAAGGGGTGATGTCGGTGGAAATAGGTAATTGGACGACCAAACACACGCTCGCTGCAAGAAAAAGACAGAGAAAATTGGTTTTAAATGGCCTTTTTTAAATTATTATTTTTTTGAGAATCAAAATTTTTGCAAAAATATATATTTAAGTTTTAATCTTTTTTTTCTTTTGTTTAATAATAATTTTCCTCATCCAAATCTGAAAGCATTCAAGCCATTTTTTTTCTCTGTTTCAGACTCCTTCATCAACTCAGTTCTTATGAAGTTCTCTGAAAATGAATTCCAGAAGAGCGATAACTCTGTTTTGAGACCGATTCTTCTTTACTCTTCAATTTTCCTTCTGGGCTTCTTTACTTCTGAATCCACGAGTAATTAAAAACCGCTTAGTTTGCTGATTCAGGTTCTCGAACCTCATACTCCCTTTTTAATTTCACCTCGTTTTCCTAAACAAACACTTTTGGTCTTGCTTTTTGTGACCTTTGCCATGATTATAAAGGGATTTTGTTGATTGGCTCTAGGACGCACGCACGCGTCTGTTTCTGCTCTGTAATTTAAGTGGGTGTGCCTTGTTCTTTGTTAATTTTTTCTTTTATGAGAATCCAGGGAGTTCTCAGAATTTTTGCGAGCGGTGGCTCAATTTAGATCCTATTGAGTTGACCCAGATAGGAATTTACAAGAAATAGGTTTCTTCGAGTAATTTTCGCCTCAATTGACTTGGATTTGACTTGTTTTTTGCGATTATTTTTGCATTTGTTTCTGTTCTTAAAGTGTTGCTTTCGGATTTTCCTAAGCTCAAGTGAACTCCGAATCGGATTTTTGCGTTATTGTTTAGCACACACTTTCTTTTCTGCGATTAGATACGATTTGGGTTTCTTCGCATCCATCTGCTTAGCTTTTGTGGTGTTATATGTGAAATGAGTTGATGAATTTGACTTGGGTATGTCTAATTTGGCTTCTTCAGGATTCTATTGGATTGGCTCATTGGCATGTGGCGTTGGATGGACTAGAGGAGCTTTACAAGCACTTTTATAATCTAAAGCTCTGAATCATAATCATTGCATCTGTGGTCAAATTTGGTTATCGGGATGGGTTGTGAATGTTCGAAGTTCGCAGATTGTTGTTTTGGTTCAGAGGAAACCAAGCCAGTTGCTAGTGTTCCAGAAGATGGTAATAAGTTTGTGCATTTTAGAGGTTCCTGAGAATTCTAATGCTCATGTTTTCATGTTGTTCATATGTTCAGAAAGTGTTGTGAAGAGCGAGTTGGATGTGCCCACATTTCGTGAGTTCACCATTGATCAATTGAGGATGGCTACGTCTGGATTTGCTGTTGAAAATATAGTATCTGAACATGGGGAAAAGGCTCCGAATGTGGTTTACAAGGGGAAGCTCGATAACCAGAGACGAATTGCCGTTAAAAGATTTAATAGATCAGCCTGGCCAGATGCTAGACAATTTTTGGTTAGTACGGTCTCCATTTCGCATTTTTATGTTGCCATATTCTCGTGCATTCAAACGCATTTACACGTGTTCATTTTGAAGTCCATGGAGGACTCGATTAGGTTGCCCTTTCCAGTTTGGTAGGGATGACCACTTCTGGTAGATAATGAACACATTCTTGAAAGAATGTGAGCTACAATATATCAACCTACTTGATAACAAGATATTACACAAATTTCCTCCAATTTCCAGTAATTGAAATGAACTACATACGTTAGGGGCATTTCAATTTACAATCTTGGGCTTATTATATTCTGTTATGAAGGTCTAGGGACCTAACTTTTAATCTGTCTTATCTAGCTTGCTCTTTGTTTGACTCTCAAATGAACGAACAGAATCTTGTGTTGGTATATTGCATCTTGAGTATTTTGATAGAATTCTTGATGAAATTTCCATCAGCCCATGATCTATATGTCTGCAATATATACTTTTTTAGGACGAAGCAAGAGCTGTCGGTCAGCTTCGAAACCATAGATTGGCAAATTTACTTGGCTGTTGCTTCGAGGGCGAGGAGCGGTTGCTTGTTGCAGAATTTATGCCCAATGAAACATTAGCAAAGCACTTATTTCATTGTAAGTTCATTGAAGTTATTATTCTTTTGATACACTTGAACTTCATATCAGCTACATTATATCTATTTTCACATTCAAGCCATGATTGTTTTCTATACCTTATGAATATTTTTGCTTCATGGGAGATGCAATCTAAGTGCTTGGCATTTTTCTTCTGAGGTGGTGGGTATTAATTGTTTATTTGTTCAACCCCTGTGACCTTCTTGTATGCCTATCCTTCCCGTTTTGACACAACATTTTGACCTAATTTAATTTTTACTATCATATATCATTGATGTACACTAATAAACCAATAGATGAGTATCATCGATTTACGTCGGTTGGTCTATTAGTGATAGACACCTTCTCTAATAGACATCCATTAGCGGTATAAATCTATCAGTGATATATGTGAGAGTAAAAAGGAAATTACGTAAAAATGTCTATATATGTGTGCAGAAAATATAATTTTTTTTTTTCATATTTGAAAACTCATAATCATGATGCCGTCTTAGCAAATATGGGAATGTGAATTTGCACCCATTAAAGTTTCTCTCAAATTGATTAACTATATGTTGACATAATTTTGTAAGCTAACTTATGTGTGGATGAGTGTTTTAGTCCTTTGGCATGCTTTATTGCGTTAGTATATTCATTCATTTCTTTTATATGGTTATCTGCCGCACGTGTTTCCTAAATTTTGTACATGCGCTATTCAGGGGAAAATCAGCCGATGAAGTGGTCGATGCGGTTAAGGGTGGCACTACATCTTGCACAGGCTCTTGAATATTGCACCAGCAAAGGGCGAGCACTTTATCACGATCTAAATGCTTACAGAATTGTTTTTGATGATGTATGTATCATTTTATCTTTTCTTCCATATCTCATACCCTCATATTAGGATTTGACTAAGTTATTCACACTAAACATATCTTCTTTTAGGAAGGAAACCCTCGACTTTCATGTTTCGGTCTGATGAAAAATAGTAGAGATGGGAGAAGTTACAGCACAAATTTGGCATTTACTCCCCCTGAATATTTAAGGACAGGTATATGCTCTCTATCTGGATGAAAATTTTATTATACCACGTGAAATTATGCTCATATATTGGGTTCAAACTTCAAGCGTCATGGTGACTACTTAGAATATTGCATCACATGTAAGGTGGGAGATTTAAACATACAACGTCTTAGTGGGAGTAGAAATACCATTGAGTAATGCTCATGTTTGCCATACTCTCTTATTTAGAACTCTTACCGTTCTATGTACTTATGGTTTTCGCTGCAGGTGGAATAACACCAGAAAGTGTCATATACAGCTTTGGAACTCTTTTGCTTGACCTTCTAAGTGGAAAACATATTCCTCCAAGCCATGTAAGTGTCTTATTTTTTGAAAAGCTGTTTCTATATTGTTTTGGCATGAGTTCTTTTAAGATCTGGCAATGTTTGGTATGGCGAGAAAACAACAAATTTATTCTTGGAAATCTCTATGTTACCCCTGTACCTTGTCGTTCATAAATTTGGTACCAAGTTTTTTACTTTACTAATATTTGTTTGGACATCTCTCAGGCTCTAGACCTCATACGGGACAGGAATCTTCAGATGCTTACTGATTCTTGTCTGGAAGGACAATTCTCAAATGATGAGGGTACTGAATTAGTGCGGCTTGCTTCACGCTGTTTACAGTATGAACCTAGAGAGCGTCCCAATACAAAATCATTAGTTGCGGCATTGATTCCTCTTCAGAAAGATGTCGAGGTTCCTTACCCCCCCGCTTAGTGCTTGCATTTATTGTTTTGAGCATCTCCCTTATCAATCTCTTTTGGTAACTTGTACTATGCATAGGTTCATATTTACTGTATGAGCTGCTAGATTCTGGACAAGAAGCATGCTACATGAGATCTATGATAATATCTGGCTGTTTGGTTTATTTGCTTAGTATGGATATAACAACTCAAGCCCATCTTTCTTTAGGTTTTCTCTCAAGGGTTTTAAAATGCCTCTTTTAAGGAGAGGTTTCCACATCTTTATAAACAATGTTTAGTTTCCCTTTCCAATCAATGTGAGATTTTACAATGGATGCAAATCTAAACTAAAAAACAAATAAACAAAAAATAGTTTGTTTGGATAGAATTTGTTGGTTTCTGTTGGCTCAATTGATTTGATTTTCAAAAGATTTGGTTTCGGATATGGTTTTTTGTTAGTTTTTAGCTTTTTTACTGTTGTTTAGAATGAGCTCATGGTTAATTCTGTGACAGGTTCCTTCCCATGCATTGATGGGCATACCATATGATGCTGCAACTATGAATCTGTCATCTCTTGGTGAAGCTAGCTTAAGAATGGATATGACAGCCATACATGAAATCTTAGAAAATATTGGGTACAAGGATGATGAGGGTGCAGCAACTGAGGTTTGTTAATTATAAGAAACTTTACGCCTACACTCTTATCTGTTCATTGGTTTTCTTAGTGACCCAGTCTGAAATTTGCTTCGCATTCAGTAAATTGTCAGTTAATTGCTGTATACCATCTTGTATGCAGCTCTCGTTCCAGATGTGGACTAACCAGATGCAGGACACGTTGACCTCGAAGAAAAAGGGTGACTTTGCTTTCCGGCAGAAGGATTTCAGAGCTGCAATTGAGTGCTATACCCAGGTCTAAATCTTCTTAATTGTTCATGTTCTTATGAGTTCTTTAAATTTTCCCTTCCATTGTAGGTTATATCCTTAAAACTTCCTGTTCTTACCCATAATATGAAGCTAATGGCATATTGTTTGGACGAGAATCATTGAGGAAAGGGAAGTTTTCTTTGGGGGTGGCCTTGTAGAACTGCGTACTTTTCATGTATCTTGGAGTACTTGCTATTTTATTGACCAGTCCGCACTTCATTGCAGTTCATAGAGGTTGGGACCATGGTTTCTCCAACGGTATTTGCACGTCGGAGTTTGGCCTATCTGATCAGCAGTATGCCACAGGAAGCCCTTGATGATGCAATGCAAGCCCAAGTAATATCTCCTCTTTGGCATGTTGCATCCTATCTGCAAGCTTCTGCACTTTTCGCCCTTGGAAAGGACAACGAGGCACATATAGCGCTCCGGGAGGGTTCTGTCCTTGAAAGTAAAAGGAATGCAGCAACCTGACAACTAGCAAAATGATAGACAGAAACTCTCCATTGAAATTGCTGTTCTTCTCAAGATGAGAACAGATCAGAGTTCGTACATATCGCAAAACGTGGGCTTAGGATTATCAACATCTAGAGTTTGAATGGAGAGAAATGGAGGTACTTCTACCTGACCTTGATTTGTTCATATTGTCAAGTTGAAGTTTTTTTAAGATCACTTCTGGATGGGTTGATTTGCTGAGTTTTTCTGAGTGTTGGATAACTTCTTTATTCAAAACTACAGTAGTCTTATTGCATTTGTTCCTTTCTTAATACAAGCATTTTGTGATATCATTGATTATGTTGCTTTCTGAACATCATTTATCTGTAAAGGATTCACTTTTAAATTGCATTCCAGGTTGAAATGGAGAATGCTCTTGTCAACTTCTAATGCTTATAATTTGTGTAGAAACATCATTGTTGAGCTGATTAAGGGTGCTAGTTACGCGTTATTGCTTTTTACCCGTAATAAAATTGATTACTTCAAGTTGCTCCGCTAGTTAAGACATATATTAGAGATGAATAGATTAGAGATTTGTATTCCCAACCTCGTGTTAAACTAAAAAAAGAAAAAATAAAATAAAAACTCAACTCCAAACCCAACGTTTGAAATCCTATGAACTTAAAAAATTCTCAAATCAAGAAATGGAATAGATTGTAAGATCCACGTCGGTTGGAGAGAGGAATAAAGTATTCTTTGTAAGGGTGCGTAAACTTTTCCTTAGCAAACACATTTTAAAACCTTGTGGAGAAGCCATAAAGGAAAACTCAAAGAGGACAATATATGTTAGTGATGGACTCATGTTGTAACAAATGATATCAGAGTCAGACACTGGGTGGTGTGCCAATGCGGACGTTGGGCCCTGGAAAGGGGTGGATTATGAGATTCCACATCGATTGGAGAGAGGAACGAAACATTCTTTATAAGAGTGTGGAAACCTTTCCCTAGCAATACATGTTTTAAAATCTTGAAGAGAAGTCCAAAAAGGAAAGCCCAAAGAAGACAATATTTGTTACGTGGTCGTGGGCTGTTACAAATGGTATTAGAGCCATATACCAGGCAGTGTGCCTGCAAGGATGTTGGGCATCGAAGGAGGGTGAAGCATCGAAGGAGGGTGAATTGTGAGATCCCACGGTTGAAAAGGAGAACGAAACATTCTTTATAAGGGTGTTGAAACTTTTCCCTTGCAGACGCATTTCAGGCAAAATATGACACAATATTTGCTAGTGGTGGGTTTGTGTTATTACAGATTGAGGTAAGAAACTCTTCTAGTAGGAATGCATCTCGGAAGCTGTCTACTCTACATAGACAGTTTACAGCAAGAAATATCAAACTTTTTCATTTAAATTTTCATCATACTTGCAGAACTCATGCCATATATCAATAATTTAACGCAACAACAAATTTAGCACATCAATACACCAAAACTCACATCATCAAACAAGAACTTATTCACCCCAAAGCCCATATACTTAGCGACTGAGACAGAAATTTAGCAGGACACATCTTCAATTCCACTCTTATTCGTGCTCCAGCATATCATCTTCCTCCTCATCCTCTGCTACAGCATCTTGATACTGCTGGTACTCTGATACCAAATCATTCATATTACTCTCAGCCTCTGTAAACTCCATCTCATCCATTCCCTCCCCTGTGTACCAATGCAAAAACGCCTTCCTCCTGAACATGACCGTGAATTGTTCGGAGACTCGTCGAAACATCTCTTGTATTGAGGTTGAGTTTCCCATGAATGTCGAAGACATCGACAACCCAGTTGGTGGAATGTCACAAACACTTGACTTAACATTGTTTGGAATCCACTCAACAAAGTAGGATGAGTTCTTGTTCTGTACATTTATCATCTGTTCGTCAACTTCCTTGGTACTCATCTTGCCACGGAACAAAGCTGAGGCAGTTAGGTATCGACCATGGCGAGGATCAGCAGCACACATCATGTTTTTGGCATCCCACATTTGCTGTGTGAGCTCAGGGATGGTGAGTGCACGGTACTGCTGCGAGCCACGAGCAGTCAAGGGTGCAAAACCAACCATGAAGAAGTGGAGTCGTGGGAAAGGGATGAGGTTCACAGCTAGCTTTCGGAGGTCGGAATTGAGCTGGCCGGGGAAGCGAAGGCAGCATGTAACTCCACTCATGGTTGTAGAAATCAAGTGGTTGAGATCACCAACTAAAACACAGAAAAATCGAAATAAGAGAGCTATTGCATCTCAAGTATATTGATTGCTACAACATGTGATATTGGGAGAGAAACTTACAGCTGGGATTGGTGAGCTTGAGGGTTCTAAAGCAGATATCATAGAGTGCTTCATTATCCAAAACCATGCACTCATCAGCATTCTCCACCAACTGGTGCACAGAGAGAGTGGCATTATAGGGCTCAACCACTGTATCTGAGACCTTAGGTGAAGGGAACACAGAGAAAGTTAACATCATCCTGTCAGGATACTCTTCCCTGATCTTTGATATCAGTAGGGTTCCCATTCCAGATCCAGTCCCTCCTCCAAGAGAATGGCAAACTTGAAACCCTGTTCCACACAAATATAGATTCAAACCAAGATCAGGATTTTGATTACTATCAATATTTATTAGAGTAGAAATAACATCTTATGGATTGAATATGGGAAGAACAGATCTCATAGTCATCTCATATTCATACCTTGTAAACAGTCACAATTCTCAGCTTCTTTTCTGACCACATCAAGAACAGAATCAACTAATTCAGCACCTTCGGTGTAATGGCCTTTAGCCCAGTTGTTTCCAGCTCCATTTTGCCCAAAAACAAAGTTATCAGGCCTGAATATATTCCCGTAAGGACCTGTTCTGAGGCTGTCCATGGTTCCTGGTTCAAGATCAACCAAAACAGCCCTCGGAACGTATCGGCCGCCGCTCGCTTCGTTGTAGTAAACATTAACTCTTTCGAGTTGAAGGTTACTAGTTCCGGTGTAGTTTCCAGTGGGATCTATGCCGTGTTCATCACAAACAACTTCCCAAAACTTAGCCCCGATTTGGTTTCCACACTGTCCTGCTTGAAGATGGAGGATTTCTCTCATTTTCGAAAACAGAGGAAAGCAAGAAGGAAGTGGCAGATGGTTTGAGGGTTTGCAGGCAGATGGAGGGAGGGATATATAAGGGGGGGTTTTAGGATGAAATGAAATAGAGTTTCTAGTCTTTATGTTGAGGGGGAAATGGCGTGAAAGGATAGTGAAAGTGAAGGTTTTAAGACATGGAAGAAGATTGAATTAATAATTTCATGTGGGAATGTATGAATGAAGAGAGACCTGTCAAATTCCAGATTGGAGTTGTGTGAGCTGGATGACAAGGAAGCTGACAACAACCAGGAGACTGCTACTTCTTCTGTCTTTATTCATAACTTCAACCACCAATTAATCCAATCCTCTTATCTTCATGCCTTCCTGTCTAAATCATTGGGTTTACAAAAGATATTTTCATATCTTGCTTGGTGTCTGGTGGTACACATCTCTCTCTCTCTCTCTCTCTCTCTCTCTCTCTCTCTCTCTCTCTCTCTCTCTCTCTCTATATATATATATATATATATGTATGTATGTACATACTCTGCCTTGATCCATCAAGTTTTAAGTTTCAAGCTGGTATAGATTTACTTTTGAGTTCCGTTTAAAATGTTTCGTATTAGTGTAGATAGTAACGCCCTCAAGCCTTGAGCTCGAGATGTTTAGAGCAACAAGTTTTGGGAGTGTTCGGTAGAAATTTGAGTGAAGGTGAGGCACGAACATACTGTAAAGGAGTGACAAATTTGATATTTTAATAGTAAATGATGTACATATTTTTCAATTTTAACTTGGAACCATGGTTAACAAGGAAAAGGAGGACATAATTGTTGTTAATTTTTATTAAAGATTGGATTAGTGGAGTAAATTTGGGTTTTAGATTGTTGGTTTGGTGGGATGGGTTGACATTTTAACAATTGGAAAAGGATTTGCACCTTAAAATTGATGTTTTGCTTCCTAATTTGGTGGGATTTGACTTAACTCATCCCCTGCATCTGTTAATCAACTTCAATAATTTCCTCCCATCTTTTATGATAAGTTGAAAGTCCAATACTTTTCAGTTTTTTTTTTAAGTTAAGATGGAGCATCGTTCTAGTGTTTAGTAAATTCTTTGACTAAGGTCTTTAATTGACTTAATACAACTTAAACCTTTAGATTGATTCATGGAGAAAGTTTGAAAGAACGCATAATTAACCCTTTTCCATTAAATTAAAAAAATATATATATATATTTCAAACACGGAAATAAAACATAAAATAATTGCAAGTGGAGTTGGAAGGTAAAAGCATTGAAGGCCAATTTTGAACTAAAAATTTGTCATATAACTTTAGTATTTAGTATTAGATAGAAAAGGATGCGTGTGGACCTTTGAGGAACGTATATGCATAAACCTTCTGAACTTATTTTCAAAGATAAGTATTGAGTTTTCATTTGGAACCATATGAACCAAATTTTAATATTTTCTTAATTATATTAGCAAATATTAAAACTAGTGGCCCTATTAATATTTTCTTAATGATACGTTCTTACAAGTGATTATTATGAGCGTTCAATTATTGAATGGATGGATGGAAGTGGTCTGTCAGATTGTGTGCAGCTAAATAAGGATTCTTTGTGGGATTTTTGTATCACAATGTCCCACAGCAAATGGAAGCTGCCTACTTGCTATCCATTGGAATCCAATGTTTTGAAGATAACAGGAAAAAGACATGAATGAACCAACGCGAATCTACCAAACATGAACTGGGCAGTCACAAATCTACACCCACTAATCTTCCAAAAGATCTAAAACAGTAACCATCACAAGGAAGCCAAAACTATTGGGAGCATTTTTTTATTTCTTTTGGATGAACAGAAGGTTCATGGCTCGGTAAGCTGATGGCTTCTCTACAATGAACATCCTCTAGTGGTTAATATCATCATTATTATTTGTGGGGTTACAATTTACCACAACCAAAAGAAGGCCATCACAGAATTACAACAACTATGAATACCATCATCAAGCTAAGGACAAGTTTCAAGAACATGTAGTTATATGTTGTTCATGTAGCAATCTCAAAAACTAAAAGAGATGCAGCTTAATATAGAAGCTCCTCGAAAACTGGATCTACATTTTGTCCCCATTTTCCATTATACAATCCTAACAGCTTTTCAGCCAGTGTCACACCTGTAATTAAATTAAACCCATGCAGTGTTTTTTTAGGGCTCCAAATATGTAAGCAAAACAAGGAATTCAGCCAATTAAAAGATAGAACTCAGGTTTCTTAAAATTAACTTAAAAGTTGTTCATACCTGTTCTAGCTACTTCAGTCACCTCATTCAAGAAGCCAGACTCCTTGAAACCTCTTCTCTTTAAGCCATCCTAAAAGTGGGGAAGTTTTTGTTTCAGTCGCAACATTAGTGGTGCCAATAATACGACCAGCACTCACAAGAGAAAATAATATTGCTAGACATACCTTTGCTAACTTAACAACATCTTGAGCAACGTGCTTCAGCAACCCATCACGAAATGGTGTGTTGAGACCGGTTATTGGAACCTGATAAAAAAATTATTCCGTAGTAAGGCATGTAGAATTTATTGCAACAATTTAAATTTCATAACCTAGTTCAAATGAAGGAGCCGGAGTCTGCCCTGCTTCTCACAAGTAGCAATGGGCAACTAGAAAGAAAAAAAAATGTTTCCCCTAAGATCCTATTACCTCATTCCTCAACATCTGTCTTTCTTCAGGTGTCCAGTCAGCTGTTATGTCCAAAGCATTTTGCAGGGAAACTTCGTCATATAATAAACCAACCTGACATTTGAAGAGAGAGCATTAGCAGTACTCTAAACACCTGATTCTATACATAGATTAGTTATAGATCAAGTAATAATGAACCGTCCCCCCAGACAAAAAGAACTCCAAAATTTTAAGCAAGCATCTTAGTTATTAGAATACATATTACAACCATGTCTAAGAAAAGGTCTACATAGCTTGATTATATCATGAAGATTACCCAAAATGCTGGCAGAGCACATATTCTCCTCCAAGGGCCCCCATCGCCGCCCCTCATCTCCAAATATCTCTTCAACCTGACCTGAGTAATATGGGAAAATTTTATCCTATAATTAGGTCATAACAAGCACAATATTGGAGCAAATTGATCATAGGATACCTCTGGATATATTGTAGTCAAGTGATTTTCCCAATCAGAAAGTGTTGGAAATTCTCCAGGAACTGGAGAGAGCTTTCCTGCCATAAAGTCCTGTGGAAAGACAACCCAATAATGTATCGATTGTTAATAACTTAAAAATAAAAATTGAGATGAATAGAAAGGAAGAGATAGACAGAAAGCTTCGCAATTGGACGATTATGATGGGTAAATGCATACCCTGAAGGACATTCCAGAACAGTCAATATACTTCTTTTTCCGATATATGAAATACATTGGAACATCAAGAGCATAATCAACATACTTCTCAAATCTGCATTTTGACAATATCAAGTTTGAATAACGACCACCCAAAAAAAAAAAAAAAAAAAAAAAAAAAAAAAAAAAATTGAAGAGGAAAGAACCAAGGAAGAAAGGGGAAATAGAATTAACAGGGTTTCCATATGTGTTAGCTTTTAAAAAGAATTCGAATAAATTTGGTGGTTCTCTCTTCCAGGTTTCAAAAAGTGCTAATTCAATAAAATAAAAAGGGTATTTTACCATTTTGGTCTAGTTTTCATTTAGTTTCTAAGTTTCAAAATGTTACATTCTTACCTTGACTTTCGGGTTTGATTTCTATTTGGGTCCTAGGTTTCAAAATTTTACGCTCTTACCTTACCTTGAGTTTTGAGTTCAATTTCCATTTAGTCCAAGGTTTTAGGATTATACACTTTTACCCTTGAATTTTTACTATTAATGCTTACTTTTGGTCCTTGGTGTTTAGTCTCTATTCATTAGTTTAAATATTATGATACAGCTTTTTTAAATTAATTTCAATAGTGATGAAAAATTAGTAGCAATTAATTAATCTAATTATAATAAATTTACATAAATTACAAAAAAAATGAGTATTAGTGAGAAATCTCAAGAGTAAAAATGTAACAATTTGAAACCTAGGGACCAAATCTTAACTATAGTAAAAANCCAAAAAAAAAAAAAAAAAAAAAAAAAAGATTACAAGAAGTTGCAAAGGCTAGGGCACCCTAGCTTGATTCTTCAGTTATGATGCATGCTATGAGCCACCAAGTACAATAATCTCCAATACGTCATAGGAAGATTATAAAAGAAAATACTGAATTTAATCATCGTCATACATTAAGGAAGAAGAAATCCCAGGAAATATTTATAAAGAAAAGCACTGCAATGAAAGAGCTCAGTTCCGGAGGAGGCAGATTACCCGAAGGAGTCATCGAAGACAAATGGAAGCATACCAGTGCGGCTATTATCAGTATCGGTCCATATCTGGCTGAAAAGCAACATGAGCATGGATTGATGTGGTAGGGAGGGAGAAAAACAGAGAAAAAAATTTATATGAAAACCAACAAGAGCATACCTTCTCATGCTCAAATAACCATTTGGCTTTCCTTCGGTAAATGGTGAATTGGCAAACAGAGCAGTTGCTATCTGTTCACTTATACAAGTATTCAGACACATTGAACAGACGTAACTTTTAAAACATAATTCATATTTAAAAAGACAACGTTTCTCACAGGTTGAAGAGCAAGACCCACTCGGAACTTTCTGATCATGTCGGCTTCGGAATCAAAATCAAGATTAACCTACATGAATTATTCGACAATTAATCTGATTTAGAAAAAGTAGACTTATTGACCTAATTTAGAGGACGTAAATCTAGATTAACCTGCACGGTGCATGTCCTAAGCATCATGTCCAGCCCAAGTGAACCAACTTTGGGCATGTAATTCTCTATAATCTTGTATCGTCCCTGAGACCAAATAATAATTCGTGTAAAACGTTCCAAACATATATATATATATATATAGAGAGAGAGAGAGAGAGAGAGAGAGTTATACCTTGGGCATCATTGGTATCTCGTCACGTCTCCATTTGGGCTGGAATCCAATTCCTAAAAATCCAATACCCATCTCCTCAGCTGCAGCTTTCGCCTAAAGAAGTCAACCAGATAATTTACAACTAAAACTGGAGATGTGACGTCTTCTATTTTGATTCTTCTTATGTTGGTGAAATTATTCATTTATTCTATTGACTGGAGATGTGACGTCTTCTATTTTGATTCTTCTTATGTTGGTGAAATTATTCATTAATTCTATTGAGATTTTTCACATACATTTTTCTCATTTTTAATTTATTTTCTTTTAAAATATCATTCGTTTTGAATGATTTTTATGTTTTTTAATATAATTCATATTTAAAAATTTAATAACATTTCCTAAACAAAAAGTAAATGTAATATTTAAGGTAATTTCTAAAAAATGGAATCAAAATATTACAATATATATTTACTAAGTAAAAGAAAATTAAGATATATATATAAAACAACGTAGGGCAGGGAATATAATTTTAGGGGTTATTCTCTCAGGTCCCCATAATTAACTGTGAGAAATCTCTCAAAATGGTGTTGGAACTTTTGAAAAAAGGGAGGATAGGCATTGAAAATGAACAGAAAATGTGTGCACGCCATACAGGAGCAACGTGGCACAAACCTGGTAAAGGTGTGAATTAACTTCAGCACAGGTTTGATGCAAAGTTTGAAGAGGGGCACCACTGAGTTCAAATTGACCCCCAGGTTCCAGTGATATACCTTGCATACCCTGGTCCATAATAATCTCGTGTTAGGAAGAAAATGGAAACATTTCTTCTAGAAGGATACCAACAGAGCATCTACTTATAAACAGGTCAGAGGCAGTGCATAGGTGCTACTCGCCAGTATTTACTGGCAGGGTCTGGGCGGTTTACCTGCCGGAGCCCTATAATGTCGCTGCCTTCCATTACTTTTTCCCAACTAAATCTCTCTGCAAGCCCGTTTAGCAACCCACTTATTTGCTCGTACGTCATGGGACGTAAACTTCCAATCTGGAATCCAAACTTCTCATGTTCTGTGCCAATTCTGCCGGGACCCAGGATCAAATTGTTATAATAAAAAATTGATAGTGTTTTCAAAAGCTGCAGATTATAATGAGTAAAAGAGCAAGGAGCGATTTCTCGAAATTGCATTTCGCGTCCTTGTCTCCCATCTAGCCAAATTCCTGGTCCCATCACTTTACACACACAAATATTAAGACAAATATTTATATATATATATATTTATTTATTTATTTAGTATTAAATTTTAAGTTAAAATATTATTATATTTATTGCTATGTTATTTTATTTTTTAATAGAAATTATAATAAAAGAATAAGATCATTCATTAAAATATTTCTTGAAAAGAATAAGATATAAAAAGATGAAAAAAATTATCCAGTAAACTTGCCAAAATCCGAGCAAAAAGTGAAGAAATAACAAAAGATGTGTGTGTATATATACATGTATGTATGTATGTATGTATGTATGTATGTATGTATGTATAGCCCATACAATCCGATTACAGTGACTGGCATGAATAAGTTGAACAAATTTGTTATTAGTAAATGATGAATAACAACCAAAAGCATACTGAGGGAAGTTAGTTTTCTGATTTAAATACAGGAAAAAGTCTGAAATATTAACCTCCACTTTTCCTTTGGCTTGCATCCAGAAGCTAAATAAGCCACGAGATCCTCTTTCGTCAACGGTTGGGTAGCCACTGTTGCTTCCTCGGCCGGTGCACCCGTAGCAACAATCACCCTACCGCCACGCTTCGACCTCATTCTCCCGCTGTCTATACGCAAACCACCCGCGATATTACCAGAACTGTACGACAGAGAAAACGCACTAATAAGATTCTCCTTCCTCTTCAACGACTCCATATGAGTGCACAGCTTGAAAGCCATAAATCCTCCACTCCATCGTACACTCTCTACACCAATCCGGTGAGCCGAACCAGTCTGTGAAACCAGAGCCATTGCGCGATTCTAAAAAGTAGGCAACCGCTCAGTTACACTCTATTCCGAAGAAAACCATAAAAAAACAGCAAAATACAGTAAAGAAAAATCCATACTACAACAACAAGGTCGAAAACTGAAAGAAAAATCAACTGCAGAACATAAATATGGATCGGACATGGAGTTGATTTCGGAATTTCATCATCAAACAATTACCTGGAAGCGTAGAACCCTCCGGCGCTGAATTCGAATTCGCTTTTCCTTTTTGTAAGAAATTTGGCAAGCGAGTGATGGATTTGAGAAACGAGGGGAAAAACGGCTTAATATAGTGGAAGGAAAAGGCCGGATACGTTGCGGTTGAGTGTACGGTTTTACTCTGCTCCACATACATGCAGTTTTCATGCGTATGCATGTTGTATTGTATATGTTATGATGATTAAAAGTTACTTGACTAATTAGTCGAAATGTTCATGGGTTTATAATCAAATAATACTTTCTTTATTTGTTTGAAGTCTTTTAAGAAGCTCAAATCAAAGTCATGAAAGTTTAGACATAGTAAAAAATGACAAATACTCTAAAGGAGTCAAACCTCGATTAACGGAAGACATATTTTGTTCGAGGGGAGGTGTTAGATGATGAAAGTTCCACGTCGGACATTGGTTTGAGATCTTTTGGGGAAGCTCAAAACAAAACTATGAAATCTTGTGCTCAAAATGGGTAATATTCAAAACGGTCAATATCATATGGAGAGTGAATGTTCTTATAATTCAAATATAGTTATAAGAATTTATGCTCAAAATAGGCAATATCATATATGAAGAGTCGTTATCCAACCGTGTATATATATAATTCAAATATGGTTATAATTTAGTATATATTTTATTATTAAATTATTTCTAATTTTAGTTGCATAAATAATCTACTTTATTCTTCAATGCTTCCTAATGTTGACTTAATTCGTTTTGTTCTTCAATGTGTTTCGAATTTTTATTACATAATTAATTTGCTTTACAATTTTGATAATACAATTAGTAGGCTTTATTCTTCGATACTTTCTATTTTTTATTATATAATTTATCAGCTTTATTCGTCCATGCTTTCCATTATTTATTATATATACTTACTATGCTTTATTCTTCGATGCTCTCTAATTTCTTAATATATACGGTAAACTTAACCTTTTAAAAAATAATATTTATTAATTTGGTCTTTTAAACTTTATGAGTTGATTTTGTTTAATTATCAAATAAAAATAAAACAATTGCTTTCTATCTTTTGATTATTTTATTTAAAAGGATTTAATTGGATAGTAATTATAATTTTTAATGTTTTAATTAAAAAAAAATAGATATTTTAACTCGTTAAAACAACTTTTGCAGTTAACTTTATCTTTATTTTTAAGAAATAGCAGATATTTAAATTTAAGAAATAGCGGAATGACGTAAAATATATGTAGGAGATCATAAATTTAAAACTCCATTCTCACTTATTATTGAACTAAGGGAATCAATTTATATTGTTTGGATTTCATTTTATTTTATTAATATATGCATTTTTAAATTTCTGATTTTATAATCAGTCTTAATTGGTTCAATTATAATAATATCTTTCTCTGTAAAAAAAAAAAGACGCCATGCAAATATATTTTAAAAATTTGTAAAAAGAATTAATAGAGTTTTTTTTTTTGGAAAGTTACGTTAGAAGAATTACAAAGGATATGATATTGTCTGAGTATAAGCCAGATTTGATATTGTTTGAGTATAAGCTTTATGATATTGTCTGAGTATAAACTCTCGTAACTTTCTTGCTTTCAAGGTTTTGAGCATAAGCTCTCATTTGCTTTAGGATTTCTTGCTTTGGGCTTCCCGAAAAGGAGAGATTATTTGATTATAACTTCATAATCATTCCCTAAATTAGCCAAGGTGGGATTTTCATCATCCAACACCTTCTCTCGAACAAAATACACCTCCCTTAATCGAGGTTGACTCCAAAACTCCTTTGGAGTCCTAGTCATTTTTTAAACAAAATACACCTCCCTTAATCGAGGTTGACTCCAAAACTCCTTTGGAGTCCTAGTCATTTTTTACCGCCTTCGAGGAGGCTTGATTTATTTTCTTTTGAAGTTCTTTGTTCGATATTTGAGGATTTACCAATCTATTGTGACACGACTAAGTTTAGGGCATGACTTTGATACTATATTAGATGAACATGACTCTCCATAATGACATGATATTATTCACTTTGAATGTAAACTCTCATGACTTGCTTTGGGTTTTTCAAAATTCGTCAAACCAAGAGTATTATTTAATTATAAACAGGGAAAGTGGGACTTCCATCCTCCACAAGTTAAACAGTAATTAATGGTTTCATTTTCACTCGTATTGCGTGAGGCGGCAGAGTTCAGGGAGTGGAGAGAAAGCGTGGCGAATTACTTCTTACGGGGCCCATCTGCTACGCTGTCCCCCCCCCCCCCCCCCCCCCCCCCCCCC